GAAATAAAAAAACCACAGCAAAATAAAGTGGTAAGGTAGCAATGTTGGTTTCTAGGCCTCTGCTAGCAGATTAAATCTGCATAGTCCATTGGGGAGTAGATTCAAGTTCACCAATAGTGTTTTGAACAAACACTAGTAGTGTTTTGAACAGAGGAGGTTGCAGTTAAAGAAAAAGGATTGGGAAAGGGCAGACAAATGCAAGAGCATAGCCATTCAAACAAAAGCTTATGTCAATTTCGGAAGGCACAAGACTTTTGTAAGAAAAAACAGAAAGGAATAGGAACAGAAATAAATGTTGCTACACTGGAGAGCTACTGTAGTGTAATGGTTATATAAGTTCAGTTACAAAGTTACCAAGCAGCCATAATGATTTCTCTCAATGCTGTCTAACAAAAGTGAGCTTTGACTCATGAAAACTTATACCCCAGAAAATGCAGTTCTCCAAAGTGCTAAAAGATTTGAACTTTGCTGTATTGCTATAGGTTAATTTGGCTACCCATCTGGAATTTCCCACAGTGTTTAGACGCCCATCTGTAACAGGAAATTAACCATTTTGGCTTACTTTACATGACAGTCCTTGCAAGAGTTATATACACAAACAAGAAGCATTTCAAGTACTTAAGTGTAAATGCTAACTAGTATAATGGGGATATATTGCAAGCTGTGCAACTTCCTCATAAAAATTAGCATCAGCACTGTAACTGCTGGTTTGGATGCTCACACACACAAATTACATCAACTACAGAGACAGAACTGACTTCATTAAACATCTCACTACATAGTACAGTGAATTTTTAAACAAAACACACATTTTAATGTTACCTTTATACTGCTTATCATGAAAGCACACATACATCACTAATTCCAGATGTATTAATCTGCTGCAACAAAACCAGTCTTGTGGCTAAAAGACCTAACAACATTTTTATTTCAGTATAAACTTTCATGAAATACAGCCCACTAAATGGATCATTGCTACACAATCATTTTACATCATAGCATGAAAAAAACCCCTCAGACAGCAAGGTCAAGGAAAGAACACAGGGAAAATGAAGCCCATCTACTAGCTATGCTGTTAGTTAACACCACGATCGGGTAGGAAGCTCCAGGTTTTGCTAAAATTCCAAGGGGGGCCTAAAACTTCTTAACAAATTTCTCTTTAGCTTCCCTTTGAAGTTCGGTTGTTGAAGAATTGTTACGTTCAGGTCAGAAGCGTAAAGACAAGCTGCTTATACTTTAGGGTCTGACCCCCCCCCCCCCAATTACTATAGGAGAGTGAGAAAGCAGCTTGTCAAGGCAGTGAATGCGCCGCTAAAATGAAAATCCTGATCAGGCAGCACCACTGCCCAAAAAAGGCACTTTCCTGGATTTCGCCTTTGAAATCAACAGCCTTGAAAAGATTCGAGGAAGCGGCTGCGGTGCCCCCAGAAAGAGATTGAGACTAGACTAGGCGAAAACTGCTGCCGCTTCAGAACCGGGCCAAGGAACTCTTGGCTTCAGGCGGCCCAGTCTGAAGAGGCTGATGGGCCAGCACCCTCAGCAAGAACAACATCCCCAGAGGAAGGGATGCCCAGAGCAGAGCTCGGTCTCTCCAGTCACCTGTAGAAGCCCTCAGAGCCCCCGACGGCAACCAGGCAGTAGGCGTTGGTGAGCTTGGCGAAGCACCCGATTTCGTTGTTGTTCTCGAAGCTGGCCCGGACCGCCATGGTCGAAAGAGAACCGGCACAGTCAGCGAAAAGGGAACGAAAGCTCTCTCGGCTACTTCCTAGACACGCGGACAGGCCACCAGCCCCTCGACCGGAAACATAGACCTTCACTTCCGCTTCCTGAACCCCTAAAATGGGTTCGGGATATAGAAAGTCACACAGCGTACTCCTTCCGGTAAACCTTCGAAGCCGTCGTTGGCGGCCAATTATGTTTCTAGGGTCAAAGTGCCGCGTCGCTCTAGGTTTTGACAACTCTATAGTTTCACGTTTCACATACTGCGGAAAAAAGTGGAAACCCGATTCAAATAAAGACCGGAAGTGGCGATGCCGGTAATGTAATTCTAGCGTCGTCCCCCCCCCCCCTCCATTGTTCGGAAATGGCTTCCAGCTTCCTGGGAGATACCAGAAAACTGGGCTGAAACGGAGCCCGACGTCCTATCGTCTATTTTTTTAGCGCCACCTGGTGTTGTTGTTCAGTCGCACAGTCGACTCCGTCATGGACATTGAGAACCTTCTTGTATAGTTCTTCTGTGTATTCTTGCCACCTCCCACCTGGTGGATGTATGTTTAGACTAGACCTTGGGACAGTGGAGACCGGGTGGGGGCTCGGCGGAAGTCGTCAGTCCTCCATTAATGGGGGAAATTAATGAGCGGCTTCTTGTTTTGTACGCAACTATTTCTCGGAGTATTTGAAATGTTTCGCAGTAAACAAGAATCTTGTGGCGCCTTAAAGACTTTTAAAATTCTAGCTCTAGTCCAAGGAAGTGAGCTCTAGTCCACAAAAGTTTATCCTGGAATAAATGTGTGTTAATCTTTAAACTGCCACAAGTAGGGTTGCCACCTCCGGGTTGGAAAATACCTGGAGACTTTGAGGGTGGAGCCTGAGAAGGGCGGGGTTGGGGGGAGGGGAGGGACTTCAGTGGGGCATGATGCCATAGAGGCCAGAGACTATTAGAAGGAAAGGTGACTACTCTGAATGACTGTATGAGTTCATTGGTTTTCTGAATTACCAGTGGCAAGTACTAAAGCAAAAGTGATCGGCTGCTTACAAGATTTTGTTGTAGAACAAAGTTTGAGTCCCGTGGCACCTTTAAGACCAACAAAGTTTTAACTATTATGGTAAGTTGCCTTGAGCTATAAGGAAAGGCGGGATATAAGTGTTAATAATAATAATAAAGATAGATTCTAGGTACTGTCTCCAAATGGCAGAATAAAATCCTTCCTTCTACATTAATACAAATTTCAGAGGAATAGCATATGCACAATATTAAACAACCACCATTACAGAAATTCAACATTGCAATAAATAACGCTGTTGAAAAACTGTATAATTCAAGTCATATTTCCTCATTTATTTCACAGGAAAAAAGGCAAACTTGCTAGTTGACTATTTAAATAGCGCCATCAATTCATATGGTGCCTCAGGCAATAAAATACATAAATAAAAAGGCAGGTCCCTGCCCTGAGACAATCTAAAATGCTATTGGTCAGAGTGTATGTCCTTGAAATGCCAAAAAAAAGCCCCAACCCAACATGAAATGTATTAATATTATTTGGAAAACTCTCTCTATTAAAAAGAATACTCAAAGTGGCTTATAAAATGCAACCCACAAAAAGGAATGTGACCTAAACAAAATACCACCAATGTAAAAACAGCAATACACAATAAATATTTTAAAAATAATAAAACAAAGCGGCGATAAAACAAGTTCCAGAATCATCTACATATTGCAGTCTTGGCATCCATCCATAAAATAAGCAAATTATTCCAAAAGTGATTTAACTTTGGTGGAAAGCCAAGAGAGAAGCTATTCCAGTAAGCTCCTGAGACATAAGAGGCTCTTGTGCAGGTATCTGTCACCCTTACATTTCTCAGTGTTGGTTCCTTCTGCAGGGCCCTATCTGTTGACCTCAAGGCCTGGACAGGTTCACATGAGTGGAGACAATCCTTTGGGGGGTTGGATCTAGGCTGTTTTGGGACACTATAAATCAAACCTACATTTTTAATTAGGCCTGGGCATAAATTGGGAGACAGCAAAGTTGATAAACCAGTTGGTTTATATGCTCATTGTTGCAAATTCCAGTTAACATCCTAGCTGCCATATTTTGTACCCATTGAGGTTTCCAGAGAGCCTTCAAACACACCCTCATATAGAGTCATATGCAGTAGTCTATCCTTGATGTTACCTAAGTATGTGTGACAGTGCCAGGATCTGCTTTCTCCAGGAATGGCTGCTGCTTGCAGGGTAACTTAGATTGGTAAAAAGTGTTTCCTTGCTGCCTCCACCACCTAAACAGTAAGGAGCTCGGGACCACACTGAAAAGGTAAACTATCAAGGGGAAGTACAGCCCGCTCCAGACAGGTTATATACTTTTTCCTGAACTGCCCACACTGACTTGCATGGACTAACTTTCAACAAGATCAGCAGCATCCTGCCTGTCACTGATTCTGGACTCTGATTTAGAGTCTCTACTGCCTTCCTGGACTTTGGATGAAAAGGTCGACATCGTAAACATCCTGATGACACTTCACCCAACTTGATGACATCTTCCAGTAGATTTACATTAAGCAATACAGGACACAAAGTGGTCCCTTGCAGAATCTCAAAAGCCAGTGTCCGTGAGGTACAAGAGTAGTTTCTCAACACCACCTTCTGGAATTTTTATTCCAGGAAGGACTCTGTGTCCCACCCCTGCTCTAATTGTCATAGCAGTCACCAAGAGTGACATCCTGCTCCTCCTGTTAAGTAAGGAGACAATCGTCTCAAAGTTAATTCTAAGTCCCATTGATCTTAGTGGCATTTATTTACTCATATGCTTAATACTCCCTGAAACCAGTGGGACTCCGAAGGGCCTAACTTCGGCTCAGCTGTGTCCTAGTTCTTTTTCAGTGATTCAAGTGGAAGAAACAGAACTATGATTGTGAAAACCCATTATTCAAATCTGGTTGAGCATCTGTTTTGCATAAATATATGTCCACATAATTAAAGAGTACATCATATTTTGCGCAGAACCAAGGGCAGAATTCAGGTTGCACAGGCTGCTGATTTTCAGACATCTGCATCCACCCTTTGAATTTGTTTGCATGCCTGACATCAATGGGCCTAGGGATCTTCCTAATTAAGTATTTATTGTGCAACCAGAAGAGTGGATTAAACATGAAAACAAGACTCAACTATTTTGGCCCTACTAGTGCAATGTTCCACTACAGGATTCACAAGCTATTTAAAGAGATATCATCTAATCAAACAAATGTGTCGCTGACTTTCTTAAAGAAAAGATTTTATTGCAGGAACAGAGGCTGTGATTGACATGGCACAGGGATTTAAATAGTAGTTTCACATAATTTCATATTGCAGGATTGCAAAATAATTTATTTTTAAAAAACTATATATATATATATTGTGTGTGTGTGTATTGTATGTTGCATGATAGTACACATTAATACCTGTGTGCCACAACAGGGAGAGAAGGGAAGAGAAGTGAGGAAGGAGTAGTACTGGAGAGGTGGGCAGGGGACTCACCTTTCAAACCACAGATCTATGTATCCTTGCTATTGCTATCTGTAGCAGCTCCGAATACGAAGGCTTGCAGGATTGTCCTTAATAGGCAAAGTGAGAGTTTGGACCTGCCAAAGAGCAGGATTAAGTGTACCCTCTATGCCTGTACTTTAGTATGGGTGGATCATGTTCTTTGTCTTCAAACCGTACCAGGAAATAATGGCTGCCCTTCCATTGATTTCAAGAACAATTTGTTATACCCATAAGGCAGAACAATTCAAAGAAGTCCACTGACATCCATTTTAAAGCTTTGATAATATCTTATACTTTAATTCATTATAGAAGCCTCCAGTATCAGAGGACAGTTCATCCTGTTTCTATCATAGAGCTGTTTTTTGTACTTGCTGTGATGCCTTCTCAGCTTTTGTTCAGCCAAATCTGAAACCTAGACCAATTAAAAATATGGGTCATTGAACTGCCATATTGTTATTACGGATTTAATGCCTGCAGTTGTTACCCACTTGCTAAAACCCCAGAACACAGATTACAGTTCAAACCGACTGTGAATTTGCTTTGTTTTTGATTTGTTATAGTTAGTAATCAGATCCAATTTACTATGACCGAGAGTCATCCTTTTGTCACTCCTCTGTATATGGCTTTTGTTTTCCATGGGCACATCATCACAGAGGCCAGGAGTAGTAGTGGGGACTGTAAATCTCATCTCACTATTTATTGCATTGAAAGGCTTGGTAAGGAGATCTAGTTTGGTGTATCTGTGAGTTATGGGTTTCTCATCCTTCTGTATTTTGCTTACATCTTCCATAGGCTGAGCAGCATAATGAAACTTGTTGTTTAGTCCAGTATCCTCAGTCCCAAGTTGCAAATCATGCCCATATCTTGTGTTGGTGTCTAGCATTGGTGAAGATACTGACAGCAAAGATGCCTTAAATCTTAGAAGATTAGATTTGTCATCAAATGGAGCATTAAATTTTGCTGATGTGCTGTAAGTAGAGTTTGGCTGCTCTCTGGGCTGGTGTTTCAAGTCACAAAGCCTCAGGAAGCCGAGTGTATCTTTTCTTGTTTCACCAGCAGCCACTTCTTTCTTCTCACAAGGTACAGTGGAGGTCGCTTGGTTTCGATATGGCGATTTTTTAATGCTTACTACGCTGGAGTTGGAGGAGCTACTGGAAGGGCTTGAGGTATCACTCTCAGTCATCTGAGTATGCTTTAAAACCGGCTCAGTTTTCTGTAAGTCTCTGTAAGGAGAGGAAGTGGGTCTTTCAGCACTGGAGGCACTGAGTTTATTCACAGATATAGATTCAGCATATACACATCGGAACTCTCTGTCAAAGTCCTCAACAGGTTTTCCTTTGAACTGTGTCACCAGGCAGGTGTGGACTTGGCTGCATAGCCATGTAAAACTGAAAGGAGAAGATCAGAGATCATGAGTCAGTGTAGTTCTAATCTCCAAATATTTATCGGCTTTAGATACAAGAAGAAGTCACTGGAGGGAGGGGAATCTCATCTCCCTTCTCCTTCATAGCGCTCGCAGCTTCTCCACTTTCCCCACTTCCTTTCTTCCCTCGCACCTTTCTCAGTTCTTCCACTTTCCCTCCAGAACAAAATTTGCAGTCCACTGTCACCTTTAAGACCAATGAAGTTTAATTCTGGGTATAAGCTTTCATGTGCAAGCACGAAAGCACACAAAAGCTTATACCCAGAATTAAACTACGTTGGTCTTAAAGGTGCCACTGGACTCAAACTTTGTTCAGTTGCTTCAGACCAACACAGCTACCTATCTGATTCCACTTTCCCTCCAGTCCTCCCTTCTTTCTCCCTTGCAGCTCCTCCTCTTTTCCTCCTCTGTTCCCTCCAGTCCCCATTCCCTACTTTTTTCTCTTTTCTCCTTCCCTCCACTCTAGCTTTGCTTCCTCCTGCTATCTTCCTTCTTATGTTTTCTGCGTGTCTGTTCCTTCTTTTCTCCCACCACTACTTCTTTGCAGCAGCCATTTTGGATCAACCAGGAAACCATGGTTGCCTAGGCAATCCAAAATGGGTAATGATATTGCATGAATTGATCTCATGACATTTCAGCATTGTTAAAATATTGGTTTTATTTTATCCTGTGTAAATTTTTCCTGCAGTCCTGGGGAGTCCCCAAGATTTACAGAATAGGGTTGCCAAGTGTTCTTACCTTGCCCGGTGGGGGAGCCTCGCTGGGCTCCGGGAGGTCCTCGTCGGCGCGCGTTCGCGCCACCAGCACGTCACAGGAAGTGACGTGCTACGTTGCTCACGTTGGGGGCGTGGCCCATATCTGGGCCGCGCCCCCAACATGAGTGACGTGGCTGTGTCACCTCTGGTGATGCAGCTTCGGGGGGCAGAGTTCCCCCCGGGGCCTGATTCTGCCGCGGCGGAAATCGGGCCTCCAAAGCAGGGGTTTCCCCACCCCCACTTGGCAGCTACCCCTTCTGTACCCACTGTGGAAATTTTTGATCAGCATTCTTGGGGTAGGATTTGATATATAAGTGGAGTATGGGTGAAAAAGGTTGACTCAGTAATAAATGAATAAAACAAAAATGGAAGTTGCTCACACCATTGACAGTATGCATGGACCACTGAAAATAATGCCATGGATCCGATTCCAACCTTAGGTTGGAGGCAGTTCCTCAAGCTTAAGAAGCCATAGGCTGGAGGAAGACTTCATGCTTTGCTTCGTGTTGTCGTAGGATAGTGGTAGGATCCACAACACCAGTGATGGCTCAGTGATTCAAGATGAGTTCACAGAAGCTATCTTGATTAGTCTATAACTGAAGCTAGTACTTAAACCTGTGAGTGAGCTAATACATGTAAATCATTATAGATCATTGCTTGGTAACAAAAATGAGGAACAAACTGAAAGACAGCCAGTGCAGCCATTTGTGAATTTAATTCATATATATTATGAGTTGAAAATTGCCCCATCTAGTTCCAGCAACTCCGGGATTTTCTACATTCACACAATCTGTAGTGAGTTTAATTGTAAATTTAAACTTGCATAATTTATAGTGATAGAATTGATAAATTAGAGACATTCTTTATATATAATCTTGTTAAAAAAATGATTGTGACCTAAAATCACATGACGGGTTCTAGAGAATTCAGTGCAAGATGTTTTAGTTGTTCTTCATATTAAAGTTGATTTAAGCCATTCCTCATTCCTTTAATCTCTGTCTGTGGACTTGGAAACATTACTGTTCCCTACAGGGTGATGAAGAATAGATGGGACCACTGAAACAGATTGGCTTTGCCATTAGGTGCCTCTAGATGACAGCACATGGAACAGCAGTGACTGTTGCGTCAAATGCAAAGGCTTTCCTTTGCCAGCTCCAATGGAACAGGTTAAGGTAAACGAGGAAGTTCTGTTAAAGAACTTGACTAACCTTTTATTTGGGTTTGGCGCCAGAACTTTTCAGTGCTCAGGATCAGCCCAGTTCTATGTGAAGCATTAACAGAGTGCCTTTGATCACATGTAAAGAGCATTCTTTCCAAAATCAGTTACCAAAGCTAGCTTGCCCCCATCTCTCTTTAAAAGGTGGTACCCATACTTGGAGGAGAAGAAGAGTTGGTTTTTACACCCCGTTTTTCACTACCCAAAGGAGTCTCAGAGCAGCTTACAATCACCTTCCCTTCCTCTCCCCACAACAGACACCCTGTGAGGTAGGTGGGGCTGAGAGAGCTCTGAGAGAACTGTGACTGACCCAAGGTCACCCAGCTGGATTCATGTGGAGGAGATGGCGTTGAATATTCCCATGAGGGTGCTCGATGCCGGCCCATTAAACTAACAGTGCCATTTCAAGCAGATTTATAGTGTTCTAAGTCCACTGAAATCAATAGGCTTTGGAGGATGTAACTTTGCTTATGGTGGCACTGTAATTCTAGTTCTAATTGGTCTTGACAGTAGCAAATCTGACTGCCGAGTGTGTATCCGAGGCCAGTGTTTAAAAATCCATCCTATTACCGGTTATTAAAAATGCATTTTGGAATGCAACTCTGGCATGCATTGAGACGGTTTTATAAGCTGGGAAAACTCCATGGGGTAGGCAGGATTCCTGTAAGTAAAGGCAAGGCTACTATTAAAGGTTTCATGATTTCACAAACAGTGAGAAATCAGATGTGAATACAGGTGAGCCACATGCATAGTGTATAGCTGTATCAGACAAGGAAGTGGGGTTGGTTGAAATGAAAATAAAGTAGGGCAATTTCCTCAAAGGAGAGCCAGGGAATAGCCTGGCAGAGGGCACATGGATGTAAAGAGGAAGCTAACACTGTAATTACTGGTGATGCAATTAAGATAGAAAGCAACATGGTAGCTGCAGAAAGCAGGCAGGAAGTAGAAAATTGTGTACCAGTCTTTGTGAAATTTAGAAGGGGTTTTTTTTTACATTAAATGTTTGGGGCAGGTGAGATTTTATGCATTTATCCTCAGAATACCACAGAGTTCAGTCAGATTTACTCCCAGGTATGTGCCTTGGTGTTTAGTCATGCCGGCCACATGACCACAGAAATGTCTTTGGACAGCGCTAGTTCTTCGGCTTTGAAACGGAGATGAGCACCGCAACCCTAGAGTCGGATTCGACTGGCTTTCGAGCAAGGGAACCTTTACCTTTTTTATGTGCCTATAAGATATCAGCTTTAAATGCTTTTCAAGGAGACACTTAAACAAATGTTTGTGTTTTTAAAATTGTATTTCCTAAATGGTGATATCATGCCAACTCATGAGTTTTTACATTTTAACATTGTCACGCAGTTGTCACAGGAGGAGAACCTGGATACTACATTTTTCTATTGACAATTAACCCTGCTTTGACCACGAATGGACAACACTCAAATCACTTGAATTATATAGTCACAAGGAACATCATTCATATTTTAAATTATTGCTTCCTGAAATAGATGGTGCAATAATAATTTTCTCAGGTTCAAGGAAAACCACATTACCAGCTAAAGAAAATGACTTGTTTACAGTTCTCACCTGTAGGTCCCAGCAAGGACTTGTTCACAGTCTATCATCATGAATTTCTCAAGAGCTTGTCCTGCAAGCTTCTTGCCAGCCTTACTGTAGTATGTGTCTCCGCTCACACAGCGTATACGCATGTTCTGGAATGGGGGAGGGGAGAAGGCACATTAGAAATGAAACACAGCCAAGACATCTCTCTTTTCCATTCATTGCAGCCCTTATGGGGGAAATGTTTCTGGTCATTATAGGCACTGAACTGAAAGCAGTGGAAAAATATTTTTTTGTATTTTAAAATATGACTTTGAGATAGGTTAGTCTCTTGCTAAATATCAAAGACTGCTTTCAAACACATATGGTTTTGCATGCCAGTTGTAGTAATGGAGAAGGTTCATGTTGATCCATGCCTGTTCAAATGGCACACCCAATATTTACAGGATCAGCAGACCCCCAAAGAGCAACCCTTTCCAAAAATCCCTTTCCTTTGGTATTTTTCTTCCTACATCCAGTGCTGTTTGCTATACAGCCTAATTGTATTGACCAGCCTGCATTTAGATCAAATTGATGATTTGCTGGTTAGGCAGCAAGACAATACTTAACATTTAATACACAAAACCGAGGCAGATGCGTTTTAATCTTTAGCAAGATCCCAGCATTTCTGGTTTTTTTATCTTTTAACTGGGTTGAGCACATCTGTTAAAAATTAGATCTTAATCTCTAGGTTTTCAAACTACAAGAAACCACAACATATGGATGCTCAGTCTCTGCTATCATAAGACTCATCAGCATGAATTACTTTTCTGTTCCCAGATCAGGGTGTTTGCTGCCGAAGGAGTTTTTGTGTGTGTGTGTGTTTTTTTTTTGGGGGGGGGAGAAGCAGGTGTGCCACCTGCACAAGTGAAACATGTGTGCTGAGACATCTCCTGGTGTCCTAGTACTGTTAAGGTTCTGCTCTGGGGGCAGGTTACCAACCCATGTGGGTTCAGCTTAAGAAACATGTGGTATGGGAAGGGTGGAATATACCAGCTCTTCTTTTACGGGAGGCTTTACATTTGGGTGAGGAAGATGACTAAAGGAGAGGAATTTATAAAATGATTAACTGTATGGAGACAGTATATAGACCTTTCTCACACCCTCGCCTAACATGTGGTGTCGCTCAAAGAAGTTGATTTATGGAATGTTTGGGACAGACAAACATTTTATTTACTTCACTTGTACCCTGCCTTTCTTCCCACTGGGGACCCTAAGTGACTGGGACAATACTGTTTCACAAGTGCAACATTGACTTGTGGAATTTATTTTTCAAGATATGGGGATCACCACCAGCTTAGATGGTTTTTCAGCACATCAGCAGTTTTTCACCTAAGTGATGGGAAGAAGAAGGGTAAGAAACTATATATATATATATATACATATACACAAGCACACACATCCCCCCTTCCCTCCCTTCATTTTCTCATGTTTCATCCCAGGTTCTTTTAATATTGCCTTCAATTAAACTAAATGGAAATATACTGGGAAGTCATCCATAGTGAGATCCATTTTACTGCACATCTCTGCAAAGTGATTCAAGTTCTTTTCATCAAGGATCAAGTAAACAGGAACATGTCGTTTGCCTGAAGCTTCCATCAGGTCACTGAGTATTTCCATATCTGTGAAGAGGTCCATCACAATCGCAATCACCTGCATGGAGTGGGTGAAAAAATACATGAGATATTTTTAAAGAACTGGCAGTAGATTATTATAACACAATTTCTAAAACAGAGCAACTGAGTTAAGTACATTGCTTAGGTGAAACAATACAAAAGTGCTTTAGCAAATTAAAGTAAAATTCAGGTTGATTTTTAATTGTGAATTTTAAGCCTTCTTACTTAATCACAGATACATGGGAGCAGGCACTCTGCACATGCTCAGTACCCCTCACTTCATCATTCTTCATCTCATATTTCAGAACTTGGTCTTCTTGGCACATAGTTGCAAGGGTTAACCAACAGAAGGAGCTCAAGATCAAGAATATCATGCTCAGGAATAAAATATATGAATTCAAATCTCTCAGGATACATGGGAGATCCAACAATGGAACTTCTTTTGCCTGGATTGTGCCCTATAATTATATTTCTAAAGAAAGTGAATAGGGCGGCTTTGTTGTAATTTATTATTACTAAGATCTTTTTGTGTGAGTAGAATTTCAGATACAGAAAAGTTTTTAAGCTAACAGAATAATAATTAAGAGACTGATGAAGCTGAATTAAAGCAGAAATAGTACTACACTGGATAACTTACTTTATACATCATCTGTTGACTAAGATTGTATCTTAGACTTTAGTAACACCCCCAATTTCTTTTTAATGACAATATGCAAATAAACCGAAAATGTAAGGTTGTGGCGAGTCTGCGTGGAACGGCGCTGCGAACAGGCGTGCCTCGGATCGCTCCAGGGACGCCCGTTTCCACCTTGTTCTTCTGGGAGCCTCCCAAAGTTCGGGAGGGCTCCGCTCTGTTTCCTGGAGGGAGACGGAGTGTCAGGGGGCTTTGCTTTGCATCTCCGCTGATGGCAATCGCAGGGGTCTCGATGCCATACCCCGAAGCAGGGACGAGGTTTGGAGGAGTCATGTTAGTGGCTCCATAGCAGCGACCAACCGTTTTTTTAATCTTTATTTCGTGTGGATGTAAGTAGCACATCGCCCTCAAGAGGGTTTTTTCTTTTTCTTTTCACGTATCTTCATACAAAGCTATACTTCGAAGTAAGACCCCCCCCCTTCTTTAATTGCCCCATAAAGTGTTGGGAGAGTGGCTATGGACAGATTGGGGCTATAAATGAATGAGAATTTTCAGAGAGGCGGGGGCAAGAAGAAAGAGTTGTAGGACAAGAACAAGACAAGTGAAAAAGCCTTAGTAGTTGAAAAACGGATTACCACGGAGGTGGAACTCTAGGAAAAATAGGTGAAGGTGTGGTAGCCTGTTTGGGTGAGAGACTTAAAATGGCGGCGGCAGGAGGAAGAATTTGACCTGGATATGCAAATAGGAGAGCTTACTTACGAGCAATTTAAAACATTTTTGACAGCCACAATCAAAGAAGCAGTGACAACAGCATGCAAAAATCTGTTTAAAGAGTCTCACTGACTTGGCAAATGTAGACGAGGAGGACTTGGAACAAGACTCTCTAATATTGGTTGAGCATCAAGACTATGGCCAGGAGAGGGAGCTAACAAATAAGCAATCTCCAATCACACAACATTTGAGCCAGAAGATGGAGACCCATAGAGACTATCATGTAATAATAGAAGCGAAAAAAGGATCTACCTTAACTGCCCTAGTGCAAAAGGAAAATAAAAAGAAGCAAGATAAGAAGTCAAGAGATGATGAGAAGAACTTTAAAAAACGTAAAAGAAAAATAATTGGTTTATGGAAACAGAAAAGGGAAAGCTGGGATCTGAGAAGACAAGAATTTAAAGACATTAGGCTTAGAAAAGAGATCCAGAAAAAGAAGATGACATCAGAAAGATGGGGGAATAGATGTGGGCCAAGAATTTTGTGTGTGCATAGGATATTTCTCCTTGTTGAAATAATGGCTGTAAAGAAGGAAATGGCTAAGGATGAGAAATTTATAATATATGTTGTCCCAAATAGTAATTTGAAGATGTACCAGAGATCATGATTCGGCTGAACGTTATATTACTTCCACTACTACTACTACCACTACCACTACTACTATTATTATTCTGTATGTATATGGTATTCTAATATTAGTATTTAATATGAATTCAATGGATTAATAAGGATATGAGTTGTGGAAGGGAATGGTTATAGAAATCCCTACCTTATTTATTATTATAATTTGTACATTGAATATAGCTGGGATTATAATTTAGAGGTAGGTAGTATCCCAATTTATGGTATTTTGATTCATTATTTGGGGTTTTATTATTGATTCATTTTGTTTAAGTATATTCCTGTCTAAGTCTTGATATGAATGAGCTGAATTGTGTTGGTATTAAGGTATAAAAGGGTCATTTAGGGATGAAAATGGAATTAAATTAGGTATTTTGATTTAAGATTAACCTAGGTTATAGTAATAGGATATAGATTTAAACTTTGCTTAAACTCTAAATGAAATTTGAATACTTTGGATAATTATAATAGCTCCATAGTAAAGAAAATAATCTTAATGTGAAAAGAAAATAATTACTATGAGTTTGAAATGTTGAAAATTTATAGATATAATTGGGGAGCATTAGTATTGTGATATATGAAATACGTGAATAGTAATATTATGGGGATGAAAATAGATGTGTGAGGTGTTATGATTAAGGAGTAATGTACTGTCTTGGTATGAGGTTTGATCTGCTCAAAAATTGGTGAACTAGGTGTATGTTTGTTGGTGTCTTTGTATGTCACGATCTGTGGAAATTAATAAATATATTTTTTTTAAAAAGAAAATGTAAGGTTGTAAACTTTTCTACTGTGCCTTTTGTGGTGAAATGACACTTCCCCTGAGATCTCTGTGTAAAAATTTACAGCACTGTACACCGAATGTTGAATTTGCACTCTGTGAATCCTTGGAGGCTAAGCCAAGTCTATTCTCAGGTTGTCAAATGGTTGAAGAACCTGTTTCTTCCCACTAGCAAATTCCTTTCCACTTCCAGTCCGCCAAGGTAGGAGGATGGCAATTCATACATAGAGGTAGCCAGAAGACAATGGACTTGTTCTTTGCCTGGGGGCATTACCAGAACTCTCTATCATCACAGGAGTAAGTTCTAGATAGAAAGAGAGAGGATAGCATTTATCGCCTATTTTATTTATTTTCCTTTGCTCAGATGTTGTTACTCAGTTGTTGCTCACCTGTAATGCTTTTTCTTTTTGTAACCAATGACAGTTTATACAACTAGAGATAGTGTTTTTTTCTGAAATTGGTACTATGATTGGTCTCTGCGCCCACATATCAACCTTTGTCTCACGCTAATCAGAATACCAAGAAAAGATAGGGAGATGCCTGCTTGGGTGCAAATAACCCTAACAAGGAAGAACTTCAAGATTTTTGCTATCTCCGTAGTGGTTTCAAGTAGGAAAGTGACTCTTTATTTGGAAAGGACTCTCTTAAAGAAGAAGAAGAGGAGATTGGATTTATACCCCGCTCTTCACTACCCCAAAGTGTCTCAGAGCGGCTTACAAACTCCTTTCCCTTCCCCTCCCCACAACAGACACCCTGTGAGGTGGGTGGGGCTGAGAGAGCTCTTGACAGAAACTGCTCTTTTTCAAGAAGAGCTCTCATCAGAACTACGGCTTGCCCAAGGTCATCTAGCCGGGTGCAAGTGGAGGAGTGGGGAATCAAACCTGGTTCTCCCAGATTAGAGTCTGCGCACTTAACCACTAGACCAAGCTGGGATCTGGAGTCCAGATTATGAGGGAAATGTACCTCTAATTTACAATCTGGTGGTGCCAGTAGAAGTGCCATTTGCCTACTTTCACACACCCTAACTGAAGCATCCCCGTTTCCCACCAATGCTGAAATGAGCAGCAGAAGAAAATGGCATGTGTGTTGTCAATGCATTGATATCACTTGCAGCTAAAACCTGGAACTGACATCAAAGATGCTGTAGGATTTTGCCAATCTCATTGGTTTTTGCAGTAGACATTGGGGAAATCCTAGAGCATCTGTGATTTTACTTCTGGAATTTAGCTGGAAGTGACCTTAACAAACCAACATCTTTTCCCTATGCCCTGCCAGTGCCCAGTCTTCTGGGGGCAACAAGAAGAAATACTAAATGTGCTGGGAGGTGGTGGGATAAAGCTGAAGAGGTGAACTCTTCATAGAATTCTAGCAGCCTGAGACACGGGCTGGTGGAGTAACATCTACATCCCCAGTGATAGCATGATGGGCCAATGAGGCCCATTTTATCACATCGTTCACAGCAGATTAATTCACAGTCATTAGCAATTAATAATAATACATTGCAGATCCCCATGCCATGAAAAATTCACCTGCTGATTTCTGCACATCAATCTGATATTAAAGCATAAAAGGAAGTCAGGCCATAGGTGCGGCATGTGTGCATGTCTGGTCATTTGGTAGGCCAAAGAAAAGCAATAGCTTTTCCAATGGAGGCCATTTATCTTGGACTGGATGGAAAGGCCCAACTATTGACAATTGCAATGTGTGGTTTTTCAGATTTCCCATAATAAAATGATTTTAAAGCCCTGGCTAATTGTAGAATAACTGACTGGTTTAGGTTATCTGGTAGATTAAAATGTTATCACCAGATTTACTTTTTTGGCTCATAAAATCTGTGCAAAATACTGGCTTCTGTTTTTGTGACTGATGGTTGAGTCCAACAATTTGTTCTTGGGCTTGACTCAGACTGGTTGCCTTTTCCACTATTCAAATACACATGCAGTGACTCGGCACATTCACTTGCTCAGGTCCCAAGATGCACTTAAGTAACTGACTCTCCTTCCCCCACTCCCTAGTGATTTGTGAGTATTTGTGTGCACTGTGTAGATGTGTGTGACCAAGCATCACCACTGGGTTGAGAGAAAAATGGTGAACAAGGCTTACAGGGAGGGGGGGAGCAATCCTCGTTGATTGACACAATTCAGAGTTTAACACTTGAGAAAGTCTTTGGCCTTCTTCAGAGCTGAATCTCTCAGCAATAGCAGACACACACACACACAAGAGTTTCTAGAACTGAACTGCAAAACAACGGATCATGAGGTATATGAGTAATTCTACAGACAGCCGTGATCTGTTGTCTGAGTTGTCTGAAGATGGGCTTTGTGAGTCATTATACCATATTTCTGCTCAGAGTGTACTTGTTGCTGTATGCTGAAAAATAACTGCTAGCTCGGGATATAAAGATGAATGGTGGAGTATGGAATTCAGAACAAGTGCATCTTGCTTTTACTTATACCAAAATGCTTGCACAGAAAATATTTTAATGTCACAATTAATGTGAAATCTTTATGTAGTAAGCAATGTGTGTGCTGATCAAATGTCTGGGGTCCCCCCCCCAATACATCTGCTACAGTCTATACCCTGGTTTCACATTAATTGGAACACTTTCTGTGTATAAATTTTATAGTGTGCAAAACTTAGCAATGTCCACATTACATTCTTAAGTGATAATTTACTTTTAAAGGATTGGATCCAGCCAGTTTTTTCAGCCAATCTTACTGAATTCTCCTCACTACACACAGCCACCATATCATGGCTTTTGTTAATGCAGTTCCCATGACCCCCATCATAACCTTTTTGGGTGGCCAAAGAGGACTCCTCTTCCCTTTTTAACAAGCAGAAAAGCAGGTTGTATCAAACCCATGGTTTCCCAGTTCTTCTTTCTCACAAATGAACAGGTTCCTTCAGAAGGTGGGGAAAAATTACTAGCTACCAAAGAAGCATGTAAACCATCTTGTTCCTTTTATAAACTGTCCCGGAGGGTTATTCGTGTTAGTCTGTTGCAGCAAAATAAAACAAGTCAAGTGGCACCTTGAAGACTAACAGGCGGACTGGCCATTATGCCACCAGGGAAAGTCCTAGTAGACCAGCGGCCGGGAGGGCCATGTCTCCCCTTGCACGTGGCAACCCCTTCTGAGTTGCACACGTAGCAGCTCTAGATCCTTGAAGATGTTCACCTACATCTGCCACCACAGCCAGACCTCCCTCCATGGGGGGTGGCATTGGAGGGAGATGGCAAGGAAGGGGAGGAGCCTTTTCCAAGGCCATTTTGGCTTTCCAATATGCCCCCTGCAGACTAACAAAAGGTATTCCAGCATAATTTTAACAGTCAGATAACCTTGCTTCTTCACATGCATGAAGTGAACAATTTTCTAGAGATTTTTGTAGCTAAGGTCACAGAAAATGGGGAGGAAGAGGGGGAGTTGTGGCAGAGAGATATCTGCTGTAAACCATTCATGTCTGAGATCATGTGTAAGGGAGTTGAATTGACATGGTGGTTACACATGATGAATGATGAGAAAGGTCAGAGCTTCCAGCACTCTTGGGGTGCAGATATAGAAAGATATGATTTTTAAAAGTCTAGTAGTGGGGGAAGGCCATTTATAGCTGTAGAAGATAGGCAGACATACAGTCTACCCAAGGAAGGTACAGTGCGAAGCATAATCTTGTTTTTTATTATCATGTTTTAATCATATTACCATGTTGCATCATACTTTAGTTCTTTACGTATGGCAGTTTTTTAAATGCTTCACACTACACCTTCTGTTCAGTTTAACATTCTGTGTCTGAGGTGATTTAATAATGTCAACAATTCCAGAAAGCAATCAAATTACTGATCTCAATGATAAATTTCAATTAGTGCTGAACCTTTGTACAAGACTTTGTAACTATTTCACCCTTCACACTTCCTTCCTTCCACAGTGCTTCCCTTCCTTACCCATTTTTTATGTTGCCATTATAGACTGGCATATTTTAAATACAAACACAAGAATGCTCTCTCCTTCCCTCCCCACAAGGGAGGCTACACTCAGGCAATTAAACAGAAACTAGGCTCTCTTTGCACAATTCTTGTTTCAGTGCAGACTAATCCTGTCTTGAGCTGGCAAATTCACTAATTTCAATATAGGCAATTATTCTGATAAGTTTATAGATCAGTGTTAACAGTTTATTAGGAAGGAACTAGAGTATCATAGCAAATACTGTTTCCAAATCAGAGCTTGGTGAGTTCGTGCGGGGGGGAGGAGGGCATTTATAGGTGACGATGAGTTTGAGAGAAAGGCACTTAATCCCTGCCGAGCCTACTGATCCTTCCCTGGAAATAGCTCCCCCAGTTATTTTCTGCCATCCAGGCTTACTTCTGGATTAACAGCGGTGCAGAGGGTCATTTGCAAGGAAGAACTGAGATGCCAGAAAGGACACACTTGCCTTCCAAGCAAAAAAAGAGGGTTTGCCACGTGTTAAATAGTCAGTTTCAATACCTAACACCATGTAATTCAGAAGTGCACCTTTAGAGGGCATTCTTACAATGTGCACAGTGAAGATTCCCATTTGGTTCTTAGAGTACCCTTCAAGACCAACTATTTGGCAGTATGTTAGAGTAAAGAGCTAGCTTCCCTCCCTTCTGAATATTTCATTATTAAATGGATAATCATTGAAATTAGCAGGAGTTATTTTTAACAAAATTTATTTTGGATCCAGATCTATTAACTGAATAACATCAATAGGTACCTGTAAGAAACCTGTGGCCCTCTTTTTCCCTTTTTTCTTCAATAGAGTACTTTTTTACATTTTCTACATGTATTCCTTCAATGACTTATCCCAAAATGTTCTCACATCTAGAGCCATGACTGTCTCAGAGATGGCCAGCAATGGCTTGTGTGGCAATTTTATCTGCTCTCAGAGGCCAAACCAAATTTTAATTATGATAACATTTTGCCCCATTTCATACATAAAGAAAATAAATTTGTTTTCTAATTTGTGTGAGACAGATTCACCTTTGTCTCTCAAAGTTTTGAATTTAATGCCCAGGACATACTCTAGAATCTTCTCCATAAGTCTGAAGTTCACAGTAGTAAGTTACACTGGCTTTATTATAGAGCCTACTACATGTGAAGGAGTTAGGTTGTGCAGCGTCCTTCTGGATAATCCAGTGGCCCCCAAGAGTGCAGAAACTGGCCTTCTTGTGATGGAAATATGGACTCCACAACACTGAACTATCAAAGCTCATAGCCTGTAAAGTAACTCTCTGCTTTCTTTGTTTACAATTTTTTCGAGTTCAAAACAATACCATAATGAGGCACTAAAAATAAAAATAACACACACAAAAATGGTATAGAAAGTCCAATATCATAAAAAACAAGAGTCCCACTGAAATTAGAATCTTCCCCATTTAGATTTTTGACAAGTGCTATACTTACTCTCTTGGCCTTGCTTATTAGAGATCGGAATAATTCCTTAATGTTGTTTGCCTTGTCTCTTTGAAAATACAAATTGACTTCTGTTTTCTCAAACCAGGAGACGGGGGGCACCACTGGCCAACCCAGCTCCAATTCTGGGGGATCAATATCTGACATACATGGAAAGTAGGTCCCAGATGTAACTTCAGAAAGAAGAGAATCTCTGTCTATACTATCTTCTCTTGTGAGCCCTGCCTCATGTCCGTTAATGGAAGAACCTGTGATGCTTTGGCTGTGTTGGTTCATGTAATCCATGTCTAACGTTGAAAGAAATGGCAGCTCCTTTTCTTGAACAATGGCTTGCAGGTAGCCAGATTCACCCTGCTCCAGAAAGGCATCCACAGCCAGTCTAGCAGTCTCACTGTGCTGTAATGTTGAAGGAGTGACTTCTGTCCGCCATGGCTTTTTCAGATCCTCCAAACGACTCTTCAGCTGCCCTGCAGACCCCTGAGGAGTCCCGTAGGTTCTGTGGAGCCAGCTCTTTCCTTCTGCTGATGGGTAGCCAAACATGATAACAGTTGCTGTTGCTCAGCCCTTGTTCTCTCTTTTTTTGTGAAAGACTGCTCTTTTTGCCGTGACTTTTATCCAAGTTCTCCCACAGTTAAGATCCCCAGGAGACAGCGTTTTGAACTGTTTGTCTGATGTTTCCTTGGTCTTCAGTCTCTTCTGAACATTTGAGCATTCCAGGGCAAAACTGGTTTCTGGAAAAGTCTCTTTTCTCAATTTTCCCGTTGAAGTAGGAACGGTTGCTGAAAATTCTGGGTTTCAGGGCCAATCTTGATGTTTCCTTCCTCATGGAAATGAGGATAAGGGTTTTCCGTAGCTGCTTTTAGACATACTTCCTTCAGCAATGCGACCCAGTTAAGTTCCCGCCCTAACTAACCCTAAACTAATTTCTCTCCTACCGTCAAAGCAGTGGAACCTGTTCTGTCAGTTCTTGTGCCTGGAGAGGAACTATGAATGTCGAAACCTGTTCCAAGGTCAGTGTGAATTTATGTCATAATTATAACTATACACAAATGATACAATGTAATAACACTGATCCAGCCTGGAAATGGGGAGGGAAACTGCCACCAATTCCTTAGCATAAAATATTTTTTTCTCAGGTGTTTTAAAAAAAATCTGCACCTGTGCTGCAGATTGTTTAAATTAGGGCAAAGCAGTGGATATTCATGCTCTCCAGTACACACATTCTATCTGAGCTGCAAGATAAATGCTAAATGCTGGGCAACTTATTTTCTGCACAATGCTTAAATTTACCTGGCTGTTTAGCTTTCAGGCAACATAGCCAATGTTTGGCCATGTCTAGGTTGTAATAAGGAGGGGAAAGGTTAAAAAGCTGCTGCTTTCCCTTTGTATTTGCTCAATGTCCATTCATCCTACTGTAGTAACTACCAGTACAGAATAGAAGTAGGATCTGTCTATACAAAAATAGTTTATATTAGCGGGGCAGTCTTAGCCAAGGGGCATTTGGGGCAGCTGCTCTGGGCCCCATACAGGTAGCCCCTCTACCCTGCAACCAGCTGTCCCAGCAGCTGCTCTGAAGCCCCCACTGTGACTGATCCCCTGCATTGCCTGAGGCTCAGACAGCAATGAGGGGAGGAAATCTCACTCTAGGGCAGTTGGGGGGGCACCTGACTGCCCTACAGGTGATTCTTCCTTCCCCAGGTAAGTGATTCTGGGGTTCCAGAATGACTAAGACTACCCCTGTATATCAGTGATCCCCACCATGATAGCTGAAGTAACCACAGAACCTGTCAGTGTGGTTCCTGGTACCATCTCCTTTTCTCCCCCAAAGCAAAGAGCCATTCCTGGCTTTTTCCACCTTGTTGGAGTGGGAAATGTTTCAGAAAAGCCCAAGAGATGTTGCCTTTATGTCTACAAGGAACATCAGTTCAGAAGCAGCTGCTTTCATTGAAGGATACTTTGTGTGTAACCTTCCAACATTTTATGATTTGCTCCACCCCACCCCCAGGACAGCCGTTATAGGCCCCATACCCATGACAGTAATTTTGTGGTGGCACCTACCACTAATTCTCTATTTCCAGCAGCACCCTCAGTCTCAATGAGGTCTGAGACTCCTGGTGTCTATAAATAGTGTCTATAAATTTGGAGCCACTACCACTGAAGGGGAGCAAGGATAGCTTTCAAATAAATGTAACGTCACCATCCAGGCAAAAAAAACATTCTTTAAAGTCCCATTGATTACCGCAAAAGAGTTAAGTATATGTTAAATAATCCCCATTGAAATAAATGGGATGTACAAGTTCTTGACTTTTACTGGGCCTTGCCTTAAGGGCTGATTTTCACAATACCAAGTGCTTGAGGCAGCCAGGAGGACTTTAAATCACATGTGCACTGCGAGATCCATGCTTTCCAGGTGTGTGAGGGCCCCAGTTTTGAATGGGACCACAGTAAGTAAGTAGAAGGGGCTTAATTACCATTTTCCCAACCTGAAAGAGCTCCAAGGAGCTGCTATGTGCTTTGTTAGGAAACTTATGTATAATGATGGGTACATGTAAGTTTCCCAGTTGAGTAAGCAGTGATCCCCCAGGGCCGTTTTTGATTGGGAAAACAGCTCAGGGGAAAAGGCTGAAGCCACTTCCCCATGCATGTCATGGTTTAGATGAGAAAAGGGCCCCCACGCACCTGGGAAGCATGTAGCTTCCAGCACATATGTGATCCATCGTCCTCATGGTGGGTGCAAAGACTATGTTAATTGAACCTGTCATAGATTTTTTAGCTGTATATTTAATGTAAGGATGTGGGATATGGCTTCTATGTTTTCTACTGTAACATACTCATACAATGGTTGCCACTTATATGGCTTATGCTTCTGTAATATACATTCCTTACAGTTGGCTTATGGATAGCTTTTTAATTTTACTTAAGGCTGTTATAATGCTTAAGCAAGCTGCATGCTTTATATTTATTTGGATTCTTTCTATCAATCCATCTTCTTTTGGTTTTGAGTCCCACATCTCATTACAGTTCTGTATTAAGTGATTTTTCAGACCTGATTTTGGATTGTTTTGCTCCAGACTGTACTATAATAAAAGTGGGAGGTAAACAAAAAAGGCTTTTTACTAAGCCTTGATAAAAATCAAAAGGGCATTTTTTATCTATAACTTTTTCACTCCATTGCATAATGAAAATTGTTCCACATTCACAAGACTATTTCTTTGCATCCTTTGGTAGCATATTAGTTTAGTTAATAATATGACTAAACCAGTCTTTTAAAGAAGTGGGTTCTGTTTTGTTTTGTATTATTATAATATGCCACTATAGCCGTCTTTACAAAAAAGGAGAATGACAGATATGAGTCCAAATGGAAAAATCAGTAACTGTAGAACAATAACTAATTAACTCTTAAACAAATCTCTTTTTAATATACCAATTTAGTAAATACATAAATATCAAATAATAGAAATAACATCTCCGTGTCCATTTAACAAAATAATTTATACAGTGCTAGTCTACTGGTTAACAAATCCCATTAAATCACTAAATTCTTACAAATATATAGAAAAGCTAATAAATACTAATAAACAGCATAATAAAGCTAAGAAGTATCCTTTTAAAATATTATAATGCTGTACATTTTGACAGTGTATGAATACTTTTATTCCTATAAGCTTTCTGAGAAATGAGTCATGAAGACAAAATTGGTCTCAGATGACATTGAGAGGCTTCTTCTCCATACAAGGGCAATCTCCAGTCTTACGGGAGACCCGTTTCATAGAACTTCCTCAAAGACGTATCCGCTTGTTAGTAGTCAAATCTAAAGTAAAACAAACATATCTCCTGCAGCATCGTTTCTGAGACATGAAAGTTATCTATCTTCAATGCACAAATTACATTCCTTCCACTACGAATTACACTTACGGTCAGGGGTCTTGTTGTAGAAAAAGAGCTGCCGGAGCTCATTAGCATAACTCATTAGCATAACTTATTTGCATATGCCATGCCCCCTGACATCACCGGAAGTGACAGAAGGCCACACCCCCTGACATCACCGGAAGTGTGTCAGAAGGCCCGGCTACTTACCCTCCTGCTTCATCCTCATTCCCAAACGGAATGAGGATCGAAGCAGAGGGCGGGGTAAAGAAGGGGGCGGGGCTTCACCACGTGACAGCCCCGCCCCCTAGAGGTTCTCTTCCGGAGCTCCGTACCTGAGAGCTCCCCCCCGACTAGAGCCCTGCTTACGGTACCAAAAAAGGCCTTCAATCTCTTATTCCTCCTTTAATCGCTGGCATTTGCCTTACAATCTTTCCAGAATCTAAAAGATGACAAAAATAGCAGCTATTGTGCTGTTCCAGTTACAAAAAGACATGCTCCTTACATAATACATAAAACTCACCAAAAACATCCTTACTCCCTCATGCCTGGCAAAAAGCCTTACAGTCTTATTTTCCTAGCTGTATTCAATACAGCTGTATTCAACATTGCTTTTAAAACACGTGTTCCTAATGATTCTCAGATGTTTGGGAAAAGATTTTTAAGGGCCAATTCCTGTAATTCTGATATAGATATACCAGACAATATTGCAGACCTAAATAATATTTACAAATAACACAATGTCCATCATATTATTAAGTCCATGAGACATCAATGTATTCAAGGTGAATATCCATTTTGTTCTTCCTGTAGGTTTTTTAATGTATATCCATAGAGTCACATATCTTAATAACTGAAATAACAAATAATTTAAAATCCAGATAGTGATTCTGTAAAATGTACAGTTAATGGGGCTTCAACTATTTTATTTTTCAATCTGGATTTGAACTCCAGGACATGTGTTTTTACTGGTCGTGTACTTCCCACATTCAAATACTCACAGGCACCTTGAACTATGTAGATGGCATTTTTGGTGTTACAATTACTGTAATGTTTCAATTTAATGGGATGTGTCCATCCTTTAGGTGTAAACTCATTCTGTAATGAAAAACTACAAGCTGCACACCCTGAACATCGTTGGTGTCCTAGAATACTGTACTCCTTCCTAGTATTTTGCTTAATATCAGCCCTTATAAGCATGTTGTCAGTGTTCATAGTTTTAAAAAATCCTGTTCTAGGAGGTTCCCCACATCCAGGGATTTCATCCAGAAGGTGCCATTATCATTATTATCTTTTTAATTGAATGTGATAGTGGGGTATAATCAATAGCACAAAAGATATTATAACTAGATTCATCCTGTCTATTTTGAAAGAGTTCTTCTCTATTTCTTTCATTAGCTCTTGTTTTATCCTCCATAATAATTTTATCTGAATACCTTCGATGTTTAAATTGTATTTCCAATTTTCTCCTGTCTTTCTCATAATCTAATACATTAGAAGAGTTTCTCTTTAACCTTGAAAACGGCCCATAAGGGAGGTTTTTCTTCAGATGGTAAGGATGATGTGATTTAAAGTGAAGGTATGCATTTTTATCAGTCTTCTTTTTGAAAACACACACACACACAATCTGTTTTCTTTAGTTTTATATGCTATTGTGTCCAGGAAATATATATTTTCTAGATGATATTGCCATGCAGATTTAATATTCTCATGAACCTGGTTCATCCATTCACATAAGTCCTTAACTATTTCCTTATTGTCTATTATATTAATATATTAATATATACTGTATATTATATTAATATATATTGTATATTATATTAATATGTTAATATATTGTCTATTACATTAATATATGAAATATATGAATAAGGGATGAAATCCCTTATTGTCTATTATATTAAAATAGCAACAGGCTCAGGGCAGGTTACAACATTCTAGAACATTCTAAAAACAACTCTTTGTCCCAGGTTCAGTCAGGTAGGAGGTGATTTGAAAG